ATATATAATAGTCAAGACTAAATATTTTATTGCCTAAATGGGAACCCTGCACCAACCTAATAACAATCCATAACAATAAATTTACAGCATTTAGATTTTTCTGTGATGGTTAAAAATGATTCAATGACAGAGAGCTTTTAATTAATGCTTCCTCAAACCTCACATACTGGAGTTTAAAATGCATTAGTTCATACAACTGGTATTGTTATTTTACTTTGATTACAGCAGGGTCATCAGCAGATGTAGATTACCCCATCACAATATTAAATAATTGTTTTTCCTCATAAAATAAGCTTAATTAATTACTGCAGAACATGACTTTTTTTTATATCCGATTACTCGATTAATCGTCAGAATAATTGATGGATTAATCGATTACTAAAATATTCATTAGCTGCAGCCCCAGTCTATATACATCCATCTATAGGACAACTTCCTGTGGACTGTCTTATGGATGGACAGGAAGTCTGTCCTGTCTGTCCATCTCAGACTTTGACGGTTGGTGGTCCTCTTGTTTGAACGTGACGTTCTGCTGGTTTAATTAATAAAAAAGCTTCATGGTTTCTTACAGCCAGTAGAAAGCTGCTCCTCAGTGAATAATCTGCTTTATCTCCTGTGACTGATCAGGAATCATTAGCGTGAACACTTTGAGCTGGTGGGAAGAGGAATCACTCACCCCGCTCCGAATCGATACCCGGCCTCTCCTCAACATCAGCCGACAGTCGGCTGTGGTTTTAAAGTGAGCCGAGCGAACGAACCACACGCTGTAGCTCGGTCCTTATCGCTCCTTTTAATGCCATTTAGCGCGTGTGGTGCGTGTTGGCACTCTGGGTAATGGAAGAATAAATATTTATAAATTGTAGGTTTGCTGCAAAGTGGAAACCACATCATAAAAGCATGAAAAACAAAGAAATGATCTTGTTTGGTTGGAAGAGACGCGAGCTGTGAATAATTTATGACCTCTAATAATTTAGGGGTTGTGTAAACGCTCAGAAGTCCTTTAATGTTTTAAAAATCTGTGAATTAAAAGTTTTTAAACAAGAAGAATTGTTTAAAATGAGGTAAAAGGGGAGTTTTGATGAGAAATTGAAATTGTGCATCGTGGTTGTGGAGGATTTTTGTCCCACTCTCATTTCTAACGTTTCTTCAGCTCATTGAGGTTTCAACTCTCTAAAGGTCCCACCACAGGTTGAGGTTCATTTAGACCAGCTTAAATCATGCTGCCATGTTGTTTTTAGAGAGAGAAGGATGAACTTTAACCTTCTAAGTCTGAGATGGAGCTCATTGCACGGTCTGACCTTCAGGGTGAATTATCTGAGGTGAGGAATAAGTCTTTTTTTCATATATAAGATAGTTTGAGTTATAACTTTTAGACAAAACCAGACAATTTCTCCTTTTTAAACAGTAAAATTTATATTTAAATGTGTAAAAGAACCTTTCACAGGATGTTAAATGTGAGGACAGATTGTTGTTGTTGTTTTCCTGCGTATAAAAGCTGCTCTGATTGCATTTACACTTCTCCTAACTGCTTTGTGATTAGCAGCAGAAGTCAGATGAGCTCATCTGGGCTTGGTGTGCGTTTCCGTGTGTGTTTTTTTTTTTTTTTTGTGTGTGTGTCTTTGCACGTTTGTGTCAGGGTGGAGAGCGGGAAACCGGTGGAAATTAGAGGCACAATTAAGCTTTTAAAGGCTTTTTCAGAGGAAATGAGCTGCAGCCTCCAGGACGGATGATGCTGCCGATAGGAGGGAGACGTTTGAAGTGGGATTGAATTAAATCTGGTGACGTTCCCGAGGCTCCTGGGTGGAGAGTCTGAGGATGGAGCAACGAGCGAGGGACATAAATCAACAAACGACTCGTTTATAAACTCTAAAACAGTTTCACGAGTCAAAAGCAAAACCTACTGAAACAAATCACCTTTTGCTGAAAACAAAAGAGTTTTCCCCTCGATGCCGGGGCTTAATAATATTCAGTTAAATATCATGTTAAGTGCTTCATGAGATATTTTGCTAATAGTCATAATCTGATACATTTGTCTAGCCATTTTCTGTTTTCATAATTTGATCAAAGTCTTTCTATTTTCAGCTTTAAGCTAGCATTCTTCTCCTTTTTTTCTTTAAGCTAGCATTTTCCTACTTCTAGATTTTAGTAAACGTTTAGGTAAATTTGGGGTTTTAGCTGGTGTTTTCCTCATTTTTGCTTTTTGCTAGCTCTATGATACATTTAATTAGTTATTTGCTGTTTTTAACATCTTGCAATATTTAGATTTAAGCTAGAATTCTGCTCATTTTAGCTTTTAGCTAGCATTTCATTTCGAGATTTTAGTAAGCATTTTGGTAATTTTTAGGTTTTAGCTAGTGTTCTGCTCTAATTAGCTTTTAGTTAGCGTTTTTGTACATTTAATTAGTAATTTAGCCAGAGTCTTACAATATTTAGTTTTTTAAGCTAGAGTTCTGCTGCTTTTAGCTTTTAGCTAGGATTATGCTATTTCTAGATTTTAGTAAGCATTTTGGTAATTTCTAGGTTTTAGCTAGTGTTCTGCTCTTGTTAGCGTTTAGCTAACACTTTGACACATTTAGTTAACAACTTGCTTTTTTAAATATTTAGCCAAAATTTTGATATATTTAGCTTCAACCTAGCTTTCTGCTTCTTTTAGCTAGCATTATGCCACTTCCAGATTTTAGTAAGCGTTTTTGTCATTTTTAAATTTTAGCTAGTGTTCCTCTCTTTTTAGCTTTTAGCTAGCACTTTTGATACATTTAGTTGTTTGCTATTTTTAACAGTCAGCCAAAGTTTTACTATATTTAACTTTTAGCTGGCACTTAGATACTTTTAGTGAGCATTTTGTTCATTTTTAGGTTGTAGCTAGTGTTCTGCTCATTTTAGCTGTGAAATACATGTAATCAGCCATTTGCTTTTTTAATATTTAGGCAAAGTTCTGCAATATTTTACTTTAAATTTGTGTTCTTATTATTTTAGCTTTGACCTAGCTCTTTGCTTCTGCTTTTTCAGCCAATTTTAGCAGCTAATTAGCTTTTTATAGAATTCTGTTTTTTGTGTCGGCAGGTTGATGCAGACAGATGGGGGAGGAGCGGCACTCGTTTAGCTAAACTATTAATTGAAACCATCATAATGAGGAAGAGGAGGAGTGACGAAGCATCGTGGACCAACGTCTCTCTTTGAGCTGATTCTAAGACTTTAGATCACAGGTTCTGATCCGCCTCAGTGTTTCACCTCATTCTGTTCAGTACCAAGATATCAAAGGTAAAAAAAAAGGTCCCTCAGTTCTTTCTGTGTTCAAAAAGTTTTATTTTTTATTTTCTCCTGCTGAGTGAAAACGAACTGATCTGTGAAGACGAAGGACAGAAAGTTTTCAGATGGTCCTCTCCATCCCACACAACACGCCATGTCTTCCTCTGACAGCTTCTGACCACGAAATGAACCCGGTGTGGAAACGAGAACTTACTGGTATTTTCAGCATTTTTAAAAGATTTGTGCCAAAAAAAAATCATAAAAATAAATAAATAAAAAAATTCAGAAGTAAAACATTTTAGTTGATGAGCAACATATTTTAATTTATTTGTATAAATTATTGATCTTTATTTTTTTATTTTTGGCACAAATCGGATTTCATAGAAATCAGCCCCAAACTAAACGATCAAGAAAATTACACTAAGAATTTAAAATAAAATAAAAAACACATCTGTTCTGTGACTTTTTTATTTATTTTTTAATCAATGAGCTTAAATTTTTCTGGTTTTGGTTTGAAAATAAACTTGTTTAATGATCAATATTTGTGCTTCAGTTTTAAAATGTGGTAAAACTACAGATTACAAAAAAAAAATTCACATCTGATTTTTTTTTTGGCTTCATGTTTAACAATTTCTGTCCTTTTCACACTAAATAAAACCTCCAGAGCAGTAAAACATCCAATATGTTGCTTCATCAAACCCTCCTGGAGAACAGGTTTATTCTCTGCAAAAGGATTTTCAAAATAAAATGCTGTTAGTCCTGCTCTGTTGAGAAGGAAACTTTCCTCACGTTTTACATTTTTACTCAAAACTGATTTTTCTTGTAACATTTGAATTATCAGTTTCATCCGCTAAAAGTTTCATGAATCGGTTTTACGTTATTTTATACATTTTATTTTCTCGGCTTTATTTTCTGTCAGGTTTGAGTTGATTTTTATTTTCGTAAAACGCTTTCTTGGGGGAATTTTTAGGACGTAAGCGAAGATTTATTGATGGTGTTTTTGTTTCCACGTGAATCAGAGCGAGGCTCGTTGACCCAAACAATCATCACGTGATGAAGTCACACCTGCTCCTCATCAGTTTGCAGAGAAATTCACCGTTTCCTGTTGTAATCATGTAATGTAGCATAATCACAACGTCGACATTCAGAGATGTTTGTTTTATTTGTCAGAGAGTTTTAATTGGGTGGATTTCATTCCAAAAAGCAATATGTCTTGAATTTAAAAAATATATTTTTAAATGTAGTTTTATTTTGGAATGAAATCCTTCTGTGTACCTCAGCAGATAAAGGGCTGGAGCGTGAATTCAAAACAACAAAGTTTAGTTTTTGGGTCTGAGGAGTAAAAGTGATGAATTTGGTTGAATGAAACGACAACATGTGCAGTTTTTTATTTTTTATTTTGAAAGAATCGTTCTGCAGCTGACTGTTTCTGTAAGATTTAGCCTGTAAGCTCGTTTTGTTTTGCTAATTTATAAAAGATGATCAATTCTTGAACCACCCAAGTTTTTCTTTATTCCAGCCGCCATGTTTAAATGATAGATTATGCTAGGGAAGTCTTTTTTATTCATCTTTTTAACCATTGGAGGGGGGAATGTATGAATTTTGATGGCTAAGCTCACCCGTAACCACCTTCTTCTGCTTTATAATCCTTTCAAAATAAAGTAAAACGGCAGAATCTCTTGGATATGTTGAGTTGTTTTTCGTTTTTGTTTCATAAAAAATCTTCAACTGGAAAAAGTGCCGTTAAAACAACTTCATGTGTTACAAAACATAATAATGTGAAACTAATAAAACTTTACAGCTCCTAGCATAAAGTAAAGACTCAAATATTAGAGACTTAAGCCAAATACCACCAAACCTAACCCTTTTGTTTAGTAAACTAAAGCAATTTATAGAAAAAAAAAGTTTTATTTACAATGAAAAATAATTTAAAATGATCAATTTTTATCCATGAATCATTTCAATTCAATTCAGTTCATTTATTTAGCGCCAAGTCACAACATACGTTGTCTCAGGGCACCGACATGAAAAATGAACGATCTAAAGAAGAAGGACAACACATCAAATCATCAGTTGAAATTAGAATAGAATTTTATATCAGGGCTGATGCTGATTGGACGGAGCCTGATCAGGCCACCAGAGCTGACCAATCAGAGCTGGGGACTTGTTTCTGGAGGGGCGGAGCTTTATTTTTCTGTATTATGTATTTTTAAGAGTTTTGTTTTGGTGTTGAATTTTATTTTAAATTTTTGTTGGTTTTATTTCTATGAATTGTACACATTTCTCTGACACACCGATGGATTTGCTTTTGTTTTGCTGACATTTTCTTTTTAGAAAATTCTCTGGGAACTTTTTTTTTTTTCATTTTGTGGGATTATTTTGTACAAAACTCTAAAAGCTCATAAGAAATTGTAGCTTTTTAATGTTGTCAAAGCCATTTATGAAATAATAGAGATGTATTCATGTGATCCCAAAAGTAAACTGCTGCTGTATGTTTATTTTTGTTTGTTTATTTGTTTGGCTTATGTAGTCAATAAAAATGTCTTGTTCCGCAAAGTCTGAAGACTGAATTCTTTGTTTTTGATTATATTCGTATTCTGTTTATTAAAAGAAAGAAATCCTTGAACCAGTTGAAAGGTTTGAATAAAACTTTCATAAAGTAATCACAGGATGTGTTAAATATTTGGAGCCAAGTCAATTCAAGATGGCCGCCACAGCTAAGGATCTTGGCAAACACGAGTATTGACTCATACTTTTATAGCTATGGTGTTAAAATTTGATGTAGCTGAGCACCACCCCCAACACCTTGCAGAATATGTTTGCACATTAATTGATGTTAATGATATATCTCATGGACCAATGGGTGGGTTTTAATTAAAACTTTTTAAATGATTAGATTTTAGAATTCAGGATCTCCACCACAGCTTTTCACCCTTATGAAACTCTGCCAGTTAAACAGATATTGAGCTAAAAAATTTCATGGTCGTAGCTGAAAGTCATCCCCCATCAGTGATTGTCTAAAAGGTGGCAGGTGAAGGACACTTTATTTTTCATGTGATTAACTGATCATTTGAACAAACTGCAGATGATTTATTATTATTTTTACCTTTGGTATTAGTGTTGAACATTTCTATTATGTGTCACAAAGAGAAATATTTAGATGTAGTCTATATATAATTAGTTTTTTGCACAAGAAATAATGACAACATTGCTGTTTTTCATATTTTCTTTAACCTGGCAGTTGGGCCGTATCTCCCTCCACTAATTATACATCTTTTTATTTGTCTGGGTATTTTTATGTTTTCAGTCATCAGTCCTCGGTCTGAAGGATCAGGTCTAAAGGATCAGGTCTATCAGGTCTGAAGGGTCAGGTTTAAAGGATCAGGTCTATCAGGTCTGAAGGATCAGGTCTATCAGGTCTGAAGGATCAGGTCTAAAGGATCAGGTCTATCAGGTCTGAAGGATCAGGTCTGAAGGATCAGGTCTAAAGGATCAGGTCTAAAGGATCGGGTCTAAAGGATCAGATCTAAAGGATCAGGTCTGAAGGATCAGGTCTGAAGGATCAGGTCTGAAGGATCAGGTCTAAAGAATCAGGTCTATCAGGTCTAAAGGATCGGGTCTAAAGGATCAGGTCTGAAGGACCAGGTCTAAAGGATCAGGTCTGAAGGATCAGGTCTAAAGGATCAGGTCTATCAGGTCTGAAGGATCGGGTCTGAAGGATCAGGTCTAAAGGATCAGGTCTATCAGGTCTGAAGGTTCAGGTCTGAAGGATCAGGTCTGAAGGTTCAGGTCTAAAGGATCAGGTCTATCAGGTCTGAAGGATCAGGTCTAAAGGATCAGGTCTAAAGGATCGGGTCTGAAGGATCAGGTCTGAAGGATCAGGTCTATCAGGTCTGAAGGATCGGGTCTGAAGGATCAGGTCTAAAGGATCATGTCTGAAGGATCAGGTCTATCAGGTCTGAAGGATCAGGTCTGAAAGTTCAGGTCTGAAGGTTCAGGTCTAAAGGATAAGGTCTAAAGGATCATGTCTGAAGGATCAGGTCTGAAAGTTCAGGTCTGAAGGTTCAGGTCTAAAGGATCAGGTCTAAAGGATCGGGTCTGAAGGATCAGGTCTGAAGGATCAGGTCTGAAGGATCAGGTCTAAAGGATCAGGTCTGAAGGATCAGGTCTAAAGAATCAGGTCTATCAGGTCTGAAGGATCGGGTCTGAAGGATCAGGTCTAAAGGATCAGGTCTAAAGGATCAGGTCTGAAGGATCAGGTCTAAAGGATCAGGTCTGAAGGATCAGATCTAAAAGATCAGGTCTATCAGGTCTGAAGGATCAGGTCTGAAGGATCACGTCTAAAGGATCAGGTCTATCAGGTCTGAAGGATCGGGTCTGAAGGATCAGGTCTATCAGGTCTGAAGGATCAGGTCTGAAGGATCAGGTCTATCAGGTCTGAAGGATCAGGTCTGAAGG